TAATTTAACAACCAAGCTCTATGAAAAACGTGATGACTTTAATTTCTATCGTCAACTTCCTTTACTTATGCAGCAATATACCTTCATCACCTGCATACGGAGTTTATATTATCTTAGTTGATTCAGTACGCAAGAGCATGCTCTACGTATGAACAATTTCTAAAACGAGGTAAATTTTTGACCAAAAAGATGATATTGATGAAACGAATATCAACAGTCTCGTTCAAAGTCATCATTTCGTAAGTTCTGTGGTCGATACAATGACCTCCTAAGTAAATACAATTGATTATTGAGTCAAATGCTGACTGGCGTTTTTCATACTTATTATAAATCCATTATTTATACACTCAATTGACGACAGATTTTTCTTTTATTTCCCGATCATGACAAGGAACACACGGCAGGTGTGACCGGTTAGCAGTGGATGCTCACTCCTCCATGGCACCTGATCCCACCTCTGATATTTTGGGGGTCCTTGTTTGCTCTACTCCTATTTTGTATTGTTTTATGGATTTTTGGTCTTGAATTCAGTTCGTTATCTATATGTGTTTCACGAGAAGATATCCAAATCATTACAAGTGGATGTAAAGTAACTATTTAACAATGTAATTCACGTTTGCAAAGAAGATCCGTTACGTTATGTAATCATTCACCGATAGCTATAGGAACATGAAATGGTTATGTTGTTCCTCTAAACACATTGTTACAACTTGAGTATATAAAGGTTAGATTGATTGACTGTTTGTTGTTTACGTCCCATTCGAAGATCTTCCATTCATATAGATAAGTCATTATAAACTGTTGAAGGGCTTCACATTTAGACTTTTACGTGGCTCTCAAGGCCATTGAACAGTGAGGGTTCTTTATCGTGCCAATGTCTTCCATGACAAGGTGTCTCGGTTTTTATGGTCTCCTCCGAAAAACCCACAATTTTCACTTCAAAGTGGCGAGAGCTTGATAAAGGAACGGTTGCTAAAGTTTCGAGATGATTGAACCTAAGCGTTTTCCAAGATCTTAAAGTTTCAATTTTTCTTTGTGGTTAAACACACACATTATGCTTTCAGTAATTGTTACTTCAAAATCAATGAATACCGTTATTTAAAAATTATATGCGTTTGCACAAATTAACCTGAAATATAATTATTTTCCTTTTTTTTGCACTGATCTGGTCTGTATACTCTCCAACTATTCATGTTTCATTGAATGATTAAAAAGCAGCCCTAAATAAAAAGAGGATTGTTTTATTTTTCAACCCTTGAAATTTCCTACTATTACTTTATATTAGCTTTATCGAATTTAATGGTACTTTACGAAATGACCGTTGTCCGAGAAGTGTTTAAAAGAAAGATTACAATTGCGAGGCACACATTATTATTTCAATAAAATATTTTCTATTTTCAATTAATCTTCCAAGCTAGGAAGAATAAAAGCAGGTCGAATGATGACAAATTGAACATTTTTCTTATCTTGGTTAAATAAAACAGAAATTCCAATTTAATCCCCTTCCATATTGTATTAAATGAAGAGCTCTCAACTTCATGAAGCACCTCATTTGTCATTTAAAATCCATTTGGTTTACCTGGCGAAAACAGGTAAATTGATTTTTAATTTACTAAACAGAAAACAAAACGTATAAAGAAACTTATGGTTCAAGCGGCAAATATGCAAAAACTCTCTTTGATTGCGTCAGCTTTCATTATCCACATACCAAAGGAGTTTTCCTCCTTGTATATTAAAGTTGTTTCCTCTAGTTGATTCGATACGCAAAAGCATTTGAGGTATGTCCAGTGCACGATGTTTTTTCGATATTGTCGACATCGCTGTAAAAATACCAGTTATCCTAATATCATAACATACTCAGCATGACAATACTTCCTTTGTTTATCTCTCTCTATATTACATTGTTTAACAATATAACGTAAACATTTTCTAAACATTGCCTTCCCCCTTTTCTGTTGTTTACATCGTTCACATCGTCGACATCGCATTATTGGTCGATATCGAGCAATAATAATGTGAACAATACACAGATTTTTCTTGACATCGACATCGTCGACTTTGAAATGAGAGAGTAAACTCGTGTTAACATTGTATATTCTTGTTTACACCGTTCACATCGTCGACATCGCAATGTTGGTCGATATCGAGTCGACATCGTGTCAACATTGTTCCTCTTATTTTTCTTGTTTACATCGTTCACATCGTCGACATCGCAATGTTGGTCGATATCGTGTAAAGTGTCAACATTGTTCTTATTTTTCTTGTTTAAATCGTTCACATCGTCGACATCGCAATGTTGGTCGATATCGAGTCGACATCGTGTCAACATTGCATTTCTTATTTTCTTGTTTACATCGTTCACATCTTTGACATCACTATGTTGGTCGATATCGAGTCGACATCGTGTCAACATTGCCCTTTTCAAAATCTTGTTTACATTGTTCACAACGTCGACATCGATGTGTTGTTCGGTAATTGAATTGATAATGTGTGAACATTGCATTATTATCATTTTTTTGTTTATATACTTAGTATCCGTGTTTGCCTATATCGAGTCGTCATCATGCCATCATTATTTTTTTTATCTTTTTATCTTTGTAAAATCGTTGACAACACATTCAACGCATAAAATCAAGTTCAGTTCATATTGATAAGGCAAATACTAGTATAATCTGTTTACTTTTTACACAATGTCACCAAGGCAATCTTTTATGAGTCCACATCAGGTATATCAAGTATGAAGCATGTCTCTTACATTGAACTAAAAAACCTGATTTCCAACCTTGAAAACAGTGTTTGTCATCTGTACAGTACATGCGAAATAGTTTAAACATTAATTACATCGCGTTGTCAATATACAATGTAGAAATAAAAGCAATGTAGACAATGTAAACGCGATATCGTAAACATTGTTAACATTGCGATGTCGATAATGTCGTCATGTAGAAAAAAATAACAATGTAGACTATGTAAACGCGATATCGTATCGACATTGTTTACATTGCGATGTCGACGATGTCGTCATGTAGAAACAAAGACAATGTAGATGATGTAAACACGATATCGTATCAACATTGTTAACATTGCGATGTCGACAATATCGAATTGATTAAGAGAACTGAACATGAATGAAGCATTTTCTACGTACTACTATAGTAACATTTTCAAAAAAGAGACATAATAGTTACATATTAGAAACAAAGATATTAAGAGTCTCGTGTAAAGTCATCATTTGGCAAATTCTTTGGTCGGTACACTGACCTTGTCGGCGAATTCAAAGTATCATTCAATCATATGTTGAATGACGTTTTTCATACTTATTATTATGCTATTACAGTAAGTTAACAGTGGATGTGTATACGGATTTTCTGTTAACTCGATCATGACATGGCTGGTATTCTCTGTTTGATAGGGCACGATTGCTCCTCCATAGCACTTGATTCACAATGTGAATTATTCAGATGTCCTTGTTTGGTCTGCACTCGATTTATATTGTTTTAAAGGACTAGCTTGATTACTGTTTTTATCTTCAGGTTTCATTCGGAAGATTAATCTTGTTCAAGAAAAGCAAGAAAAAAATTCTTAATTTACTGATAAGAATTAGACGGCTCTCATTAACTCAGTTTAAGTTCAAAGTAAAGCATTTGTCATAGTAAAATAAAATTGAACTGTCTTTAGGTAGTGAGTATCGCAGAATACGTTAATCATTTTAAATGGACTTTTTTGTTAAAAAGTTGAGAACAAAAATTGTCAGTGTCATACATAAAGAGAATCATAAAGGAGTAAAAGGACAATATGTTATTTCGTTGCATGTTTGTGTTTGCATTTTTAAATTTTGGTAATGCCTGTAATGTTACAAAGGACAAATGTAAAATACTGTCTTGGACCGAATGGACTTGCTGCGTTCCTGGTTTTAGCTGTGTCAAAGGGGAGAGAATAAAAAAAGCGAAAATATGCTGTCCGTCCTCTAATAATTCAAGTATGCCATTGAAGGCTTGTAAACAGCATTGCAATTTGACCGATGCTAACGTAACACTGCAAGGTTTGGATTTCCAGTAAAGTGTTTGTTGTATCGAAGTTGAATTTTTAAAAAAAATTAAAAATATTTATGTTTAATTATGATACGATTGGGACATTTTCTTTAAAAAGGAAGTGAAGTATTGATAAAAGCATTTATAATGATTTTTATTTTAAAAAAATCTTTTTCTTTAACAACCTCTTTTTTTGTTTTGTTTCTAGTTTACAAAAGATTTAAATTAACATAAAAAATGTCCATGTTTTAAATAAGTTTTTGAAAAAGTTCCGTATTCCTGATTTTTTATTACGAAGTTCTTTTTTATACAACAAGAAAGATATTTGTTCTAAAAAATAAGAAAATGATAACAGTAACAATACGTAAAGCGAGCGACAAAATAACGGCATAAACTGAAGCTTCGAAGGATGCATGTATTTTTGTTGTCCTTTTGAATGAGATTCATTTCTGCAGCTATTTGCAATTGCTATTACGTACATTCTTCCCTTTCCTTTATCCAGTTTTAGTTAAGATTTCAAAACTTGTTTTCTAACACATGTAAATGCGTTTCAAAATGTAAAACTTCGAGATATTTTTTTTTTCCAATTCGCACATTAAAGTAGACGAAAACATGATTAAATTGTCTGCAAAAACAATTTTATCATATATTTCTAGTTGCTTGAAACATGTTTGAAATGTCATATATTTTAATAAGATTTTTTTTTAATAATTGACAATTAATTTCCTTTAGTTTCATGTCTTAAATGAAAGTATTCAAAAATCTTGACTTCACAATTAGGTCTTAAGTGCGTTTTAATAATGATTTCTTCTTCTTCATTTAAATATAAAATTGAATTAAACCTATATTTTTTAATATAATAAATCTAACCGTAACAAGGATTTAGTAACAATCACCAATAAAGAATGGTCTTACAATGTCTAATGATTATTAATGTCATAAAATTATGATTATCTCATTATTTTTTAGCAAATGGTCCATCACATTTGTCAGGAAACAACACAGCCGACACACAGTCAAAGAGTGGACCGGATGGTATATAATATATACTTACATATAGTCAAAACAAATTTAATCATAACAATGTTCAAAAATTAAATCTTGTATTCTCATCCCGTATTTATACTTTGAACTAGACTTAAAATTAATACTGTAATGTTTTAGGTGGAGTAATAGCTGGTGCACTCGTTGGAGTTCTTGCCCTTGCTGGTCTCTCGTCACTCCTTCTCTTTTTCCTCTATCGGCGATGGAAGAAAAAGAAAGAAGAATCAAAAGTTGAACCCGAAACCAAAGGGGATCCTAATTCCACGACAAACCCAACACAACAGAAAAGCGCCCCGGTGCCTGCCTAGACCAGCAACAGTTGTTGCAGATAAAAAGTAGAAAAATTGGAACATTATGAAGTGTACAATTCATGTATATTGTTTGATTTTTATAAATGATTTTTTGAATTTATGAACATTTTCTGTGATAGTTATTGTCTTTCAAATTTTACTAATTGTATTTACGAGTTTTCCTTCATGTAATGTATAGTAAGTGATATACATTAAATCCAAATACTAGAATAAAAAATATCTTTACAACTGTGGATCTTAAATTCTTTCTCCCTTGGTGTTTTCTTTTGAAATTACTTAATTATCAGAATAGTAGAAAAAGTGTTCAAACAAAGTAAGATCACACGATATGTTCCTTATTTGTTTTTTTTTATCTGTAAAATATATCAAAGGTTAATCAGAATTTCCATTCTTTTGTGGTTTTAACATGCTTTTAATACGTAATAAGATAAGAATATCAAAATAATTTACATTGGCCATTCAGAAAGTTACCATTTGGTATGGTACGGAAGCCAAAAAGTGCAAACCAAAAATAAATTTCGGAAAACGAAATTATTACAGAAATATTACCTTTTAATATCTTAATTGTCCAAATGTCTTGTAAGGTACCTTAATTTTTTTTATTGTGAGGAAACTTGCTTATGTACCTAAACTTCAAAGAAGAATTCTTGGGAAAATCATTCATGTTTGATAATTGTGTCGCATGACTTTTAAAAGACAAGCTAGAGATACTGTGAGCACTTACAGTGTAGTTCACTGTTATCTCCGCCTCCCATATGATTACAATGGTAAAGTGCATGTTTTTGTCTGAAAGACGTGCAATAAGTGTCAAATCAAAATGAAAATAAAAGTTTCACTTGCATTACGTAACAAAGAAAGAATTTGTGAAAGTAACATTAAATTTTATTCAGTGGTATTTGAGGAGTCGTGAATAAGAGATGGATACCTTTTTATGTTCTTGGACTTTGCCATTATAATCAAATGGAAGGCGGGGTATCATATAGGGAGCTCATTGCTCAAAGAACCTCTAGTTCTATTTAGCTATCATTTCAAGCGGGTGTATGATTATATACATGTACAGTGACTTTTGCGTTTTACAATCTTTCTGCAGCTGGTTCTAAGGACAAAAAAAATAAGCAAACTCGCTTTTAAACTTAATCTCTTTTCTAAAAAAAAGTATAAGTTTCATGGCTCGTCCAAATTGTAATTAATCAAAAATAATCTAATGCATGAATGAGTTAAGAAAATCCCTTATTCATAAAGAAATTTGAAAACTATCAAAGACGAATTAATCAATTTGAGTATTTATATAAGCTAGAAAATCAAGAATTGTTTGTGTGATTGTCTAATGATTCTTCTGATTAAGCTCTAAATTCCTTACTCATTTTTCCTCAGACTTTTTCCCCTCTCTTTTTTAAAAACTTTCTTCTTCTTCTTCTTTTTGGACAACAAATCTACAATAACATATGCGAATTTTGAAAAAAAAAAATCCTAAATTTCTTCTAAATATTTTGGGAGGCAAAGCGAAACGCTTTCATTTTTGTTCATTTTTCTTATTTCTTTGGCATTTTAACTGTTGTAAAGTTTTATATGGCATGTTTTTTTCATGTTTCAATGAATAATTGAACGTCAAGCTAGTTATCTTTTTCTGTAATTGATGAAGAAGGTAGAAGATATAGTAAGTGATTTAGTTAAAATAAACAATTGATCAATAAAATAACAATCACAGTAGAATATATCTGCGTATTGATAGCAGATAAATGTTATTCTTTCTTCTAGTATTTCTTTGAAGTTGACAAGTACTCAGGTAGTTAAATGGGGCTATTCCGGCTAATAAAAATATCATATCCTTTATGTAAACAAATATTTTTAAAGATGTAGTCTTTGTTTTGAATATAAAACTTGATGTAAGCTTTTGTTGAAAACTACACAAATATGAATTACTGCAAAGGATTATAGCTTTAAAAAAATGACATCGTTCACACAGTTTTATCCCACGAACTTGGCCGAAAGACCTCTTTTTATAACCTTTGCTTATATATTTTCAATCTAATCCAGTATTGCCTACTATTTACCCAAAGAGCCATCACATTAAAGAAGAGCATGGAAAGTACTGGTATCATATTAATTTTTTGTTTTATTGCTTTTTTGTCTTATACTATTTTGCCGACTGAAGCTGACATGAGTGGCATTTGTAATTACAAAAACAAAAATTTCTCTGAATGTGATCTGATGTTCTACACAAATTGGACCCTTTGTGATGGAGGAGAATGTTCTGTAGGGAACCAAAAACGACTGAAAGGAATCTGTTGTATAAGTCGGAGTGCCTTGGCGATAAAAGAACAGTGTAAACAAAACTGTAATCTTACTGATGGTGATTTTGAAGAAATTGTTCTGTCTAATTTGACAAGGAATTTGGTGAAAAATGATTCAGAATCAAATATGAAAGGTAAAAAAGTTTTTACTTTTTTAATTACTGGTAATTTTTTCTGATTCCCAACGTTTCAACATGAACATCACTGAATAGACATAACTTATCAAAATACAGTGAAAGAATTACTCTACAATACTATAACAATAAGTAATACATATATTCATATGAACTATGATTAATTTTTGTTTCAAGAGAGCCATTATGCTTTGCAAAAAGGTCGAAGAAAACGCCTCTTTTAAAATTAATCCTTGGAATATGATCTCTAATTAGTTGCCATTCAATAAATTTTAGATCTTACTCCCTTATTGATTGATTGTATGATGTTTAATGTTCCTCTCGAGAATTTTTCACTCACATGGAGACGCCACCACTTGCCGGTGGAGAGCTACAAATTTCGTCCTATACTCGGTACTTATGGCCATTGAGCAGTGAGAGGTCTTTTTCGTACCAGCACCTACTACGACACGGGACCTAGGTTTAGACGGTTTCATCCGATGGACCGATCTCCAAGTCCCACCTCGGGATTCAAATCCGCGACGTAAGGATCAACTCCTTATTTCACGACCCTAGTCAGACGCTCTAATCAATGCGCCACGCAGGCGACACTCCCAAAAAGAAGTAAAATGTAACAATAACCAATCTTATGAATCCAATAAAGAATACGAATCTTAAACAGGCCAAAAAGCGTCTCTCTGAAACACCAAAGTTTGGATGAGCTACGAAGGGGTGGCAAGCATCCACGTCTCGACAGGTATACATGTTAGTTCTGATTTTAGTGAGCTAATAAGGGGTAAAACATTGCCAAATTCATAAAAAATACAACTACCTTGCAATTAGTTTTAAAGTTGTCTGACACAATTTACAACACATATATTGTATTGTGCAAACAAGATCATTATTACGAAGCTAGAATTTGCAAAATTCTGATTTTAAACGAGATTTTAAAATCATTGAAGTTTTATATTGATAATATGAAGCAAAAGAAGAAAATGTTTATTTTGGGCTTGAACTCGGCATTTAGATATATCTATGATATTTTAACGATAAAATAATAGTTACTTTTGTCATATATCGACTCCATATTTCAATTGAATTGAAATAAAAACACAAACAGAGTCTTCCACATCTGTTTCATATTTAGGTGTGTTGTTGATAATATATTATACGATAGGGCCAAATAAGTTGTATGATAATAACGATTGCAGCCTTTCCAACATTAACTTTCCATACTTATATTCTGCGATAACAAGCATATGGTGTTTATTTCTCTGAACTTATTCGATACTTAAAAGCAAGATCTATCCCTTATCATCTTTTTAAATGAGACAGACTACTGGCAGATAAGTTGAAATTACATAGATTTCAAAAAGGTCGTTTAAAATCAGTATTTTGTAAATTCTACTGCCGTTATAATGACATTGTTACTAAACATATAGCCTATCATTGAGGCCTATTTGGCTGACTTGCTTTATATTTATTATAAGGCTTATTTTTTAAAACTAATTTTGACCACATAATATTTATTCTGACTGATTTATACAAAGAGCTCGGATGTGATTGGTAATTAAGGGTTGGTTGCTCTTCCTCGCAATTGACACCTGATTACACCTCTGGAATTAAATGGGGACTTTGCTTTGTCAAATACTTTTTAAGATCATTTCCTCTTTCTTATCATGCCTTTTTCATGAATATGATTGATTACATTTTCTTTGCTCATGAATATCAAGCAGGTAAATTGTTTGCATGCATATAACTAACATAATTGCTAAATTTACCAAGTTTTGATCTGTCAAATACTTTAAACTCCAGGGGGTATTATATTAATCATTTAAAGAAACACCGTTACGCACAAAATGAACAAATGTAGAATTTTTGCATATCCCGTGTAAATTTTTTTAAATTCCTAAAAGTATTAGGTTGTAGAAATTTACAGGTTTCAGAACCTGAAAAATATGTTTTCATGGGAAAAAATATAAGTAAAAAAAATTTCAGTATGTCGCAGCTCGGAACTATAGTTTTACTTCTCCCTCCTTATTGTGCGTATGCGCAGAAAAGTTGAATAAATTACCATGGTTACCATGGTTATAAGTAACTAGGAATGAATAAAAATAGAAAAAGAATTCTGAATCTACATTTTTTAAAGCTTGTTAGAACATATTACTCACCTTTGCATTCTCCGATTGAATGTTGTTTACAAGTTTTAGCTAAAGATGAAAGTGGCGTGACCTTGACATACACGAAAACAACGAATCGGTAGCTACAATTTTTGTTTTTCCTCTGTTCTTACAGGTTAGTCTTTTGAGCTCTTTACAATGAAGCGCATTGAAGTGGTAAAATTTTCCGTTTGGATGAAACGTTCTGAGTCATGTTTTGAAAGTCAATTATAACATTGAGACACACCCATTTCTTTAGAAACGAAAAAGAAACATTCGTCGTAATGTTTAAGGACACCCCACTCTTCGTGACAAGCAACTTGAATTACACCGAAATGGAGATTTTTATATCATAGGAGAGAAAGTTTGAAAGTTCCTGCTTCTGTAAAACACATATTGCAACGAATTTTTCCATAATTATGAATTTATCATGCATGTTCATTGGAGTTACCATAACACAAGTATCGGTCGAACACGTGCTTACTCGGTGTTTATATGTAGACCGCCAATTTGATTGGCTATTATATTTATAGAATACCTGTTCTACAGGTATTCGAATGAACCATCTGACCGATTTTTCCTTTCTAAAGAAATGGGCGTGTCATTGTATGACAATCATCGTTCTAAACAT